AACGATCTTTATTGTCAGAATTGCATATTTATAAATCTCTCATTCGTTCGTACATTGAATATGACTACCATATCTAGTCTGATGCTCTTACTATATAGCACAAGATTCTTGACAAAATCCAAAGAAGGTTCTGTTATGTAATTGATCCTGATCTAGCATCTCGACTTTAGTCAATGTCTCACTGAGGTGATGTGGTTTCCCTCTGTCTTTTCTAGAAATATTTCCATGACAATTGTTCTCCTGAGATTCCCTTATTGTTGCCTTCATTACATGAATTTAAGAATGCTACTATATTGGCTATTAGGTCTCACCGTTTTACAGTTGAACTAGCTAGATACAACCGCATGTTCTATTTCAATAGTTTCTTTTCTCACCTATGACATTTCCGATTAATTGCTTCCATGCCACCTAAAATCTTAAAAAAATGAAATGCCAGTCACTGTCTTCTGTCTTCCTGAACTCTGTTTTTTGTTATCCTTTCTCCTCACTAACTCCTTGTTTCCTGTATAGGATTGAGTTTAGGATTCAGGTTTCTTCATTTTCTTTCACTCTCAGTAACTCTTTGATTTCTAGTTCCATTATTGCTTTGCTTGGGGTGGAAGGATTAATATATATATGGTCATTGGCGTGTTTATCCGAAGAAGCCTTCCTCTCAGCTGGGCGCTACTAGCTTAGGGGTAAAATCTACGACTGATGCCAAATCAGTCGGGTTTCGATCCCGGCTTGAGGCAATCGGATGTCTAGCCACACTGATGAGCTGTGATACAGCGAAACAGTCTATCTGTTGATGACAGTATATACAAAATTGAATTCCGGTCGAGCACGCTTGGAGGAAAGTGCGAAATTATAAAAAATAACTACTATAAATAAAAATAAATATAAATAAATATAAATAACTACTGCAAATATAAATAACTACTGCAAACCTCTTCCATGAATTGAGCCCTGTCGGTCATTGGAAGAATAAACACGCCAGTGACCGATAGGGCTCAGATAGGGTTTCCTTTCAACCGGGTGATGATCTAAATCCCAGTTTGAGGCAATCGCATGTCTAGCCACACTGATGAGCTGTGATGTAGTCTGTCTGTGAATGACAATATATATATATATATATATATATATATATATATATAGTTTATGAAAAACTAGGCAATTCGTATGGGTAAACCTAAGGAGGATAAAATCCAGAGAGCTCAATGTAAATTCATTGATGTTTTCTCTCTCCCCCCTCACTTCCTCACTTCGTTAATTTACATATGTTTAATACGGCCCGTCAAAAATGTGTAAATTTTCTTTTCATGTTTTGTTTGGAAGTAAAGTCTCATGATCCGCAGTCCTTTTAAAAGGGCTGTGGTGAAATAATTTATTATATGGAACCTTAAAGTGGTCTGTTTTTATTTTTTATATATATATATATATATATATATATATATATATATATATATATATATACAAATATAGATAACTATACTCGTTTCGAAAAAACCCTCGAATTTTTGATTTGCCAATAATCAAATCAATCTCGAGGAAAAAAAAGTTTTAAAAAAGAAAGAGCTAGAAACATGAAAGTCTGTCGAAAAAATCGCACAGATACAGGTTTGAAGCCCAAAGAAAAAAACCCCGACACGAGTAAACAACTAACAAAAGAGCTCAATACAACCGTAGAGCAGACCTAGATAAACCTAATGAGCCAGACAAACCTACCCAGGTTTCACCTAAACGGATCGTCAGGATATATATATATATATATATATATATATATATATATATAATTATTTATTCGAAAATTATTACATAAATATATAATAAAATCACTACAAAAATAGCCATTTTGTTTCAACACTTCTGGTGTCTTATCAAGTGATGGCGTTGAATGTAGAATAAAGGGTTTTAAAAGGTTCAAATCAATCAAATATCCCTCGTTAGGTTTGTATGAATAATTTCATATATGGGTATATATATGTATATGGATATATGTGTATGTATATGTATGTGTGTGGGTATACTTTTGTATGTTTCTTATATGTAGTGAAGAATGTGTGTACACATACGTACGTATGTATTTTTTATTTTCTTTCACATATTGTTATCTATTTGTACTCGTGTATGTGTACTAATGCGTATATAAGTATATATGAGATATTTATATATATATTTGTGTGTTTAGAAGTTTTCTTTCTTATATATTAGATCGTGTTATTTTTAACTGTTGCATTTTGCCTGGACATTTGAATTTGTTTTTTTTCATATTTGTGTATACGTATATATTCATTTTTCTATCCATTTCTATATATTTTAGTGTCCTTTTTCCTTATGTTGTTCATTGATGAATATTTGTTTTTCTATTCTACCCGTATTAAATTTTATCTATTCAACCACTTTTATCTGTATATATTTTCCCGTATAAGTTATATTTTTATAATATGTTAGAATTCGTATACTAACACTTTCAAATTTGGATATTTTTGGTGGGTATATATATATATATATATATATATATATATATATATATATATATATATATATATATATATATATGTGTGTGTGTGCATTTAGGCAGCATTTTTCATTGATTCATGTTTCATTAAATAATATATTTTTAATCATATTTAAGCTTTTGGCTTACATAAGCCATTATCAAAGATGGCAATTACATTACAATATATTAAGCAGTACACGGACAAAAGCTTAGATAGGGTTAAAAAATATATTATTTAATAAAACATGCATCAATGAAAAAAAATTCATTATATGATCCAGCAGCCCACACAACTATTAACACTTGGAGTTATAAATGTAGGCTTGTGAAAAAGCAAATTGAAATAGCCGGAGATCTTTCATGTAAACAGAAACAGACTATCATCACTGTTTTATCCGTGTTTTGCTTAATATATTGTAATGTAATTGTCATAATAATGGCTTATGTAAGCCGAAAGCTTAGATAGGATTAAAAAATATATTATTTAAAGAAACATGCATCAATATATATATAAACATTTTAAAACATTCTTTTTAGAGACATAAATATTTCAATAAAGGCTCTGTTGAAATAAACAGCAATTACCGGCCGGAATGTCTGAGAAATCTTCATAGAAAATATTCGTCCTCCGACAGGAATCGAACCCGTATCCTATACAGAATCGTCATTTAGCTTGACGTGTCTTAACTGATTCGGTCACAGAGGACCACTCGGTAAGCAATGTCGATTTTAGTGTCTTTCAACTACATTCTTCCATGATTCTCTCACGTACATTCATATCTGCTCATGGCGTATCCAAATATAAACAAATGACGTCCCACATTATGAAATGGACAAAGTCCGACAATTATTTTAAGACATTTTTATGTTTATACATTCTTTTTATATATATATATTATAAAAATATATATAATATTATATTATATATAATGAAAAATATTATATATAATAAAAATATTATATATATAATAAAAATATTTTATTATATATAATAAAAAATATTATATTATATATAATAAAAATATTATATATTATAAAAAATATTATATTATATATAAAAATATATTATATATAATGAAAAATATTATATATAATAAAAAATATTATATTATATATAATAAAAAATATTATATTATATATAATAAAAAAAATCTGTGATTAAATGTGTGATTCTGTGATGCGTTCGTCCGGCGCATAATAATTTGCGAATTGTTTATACACGTATTTTAACTTTCTTGAAACAAAATTTTTTTTAAATTAAAATATTTTTAAATTAAAGACATACACAAAAAGACCCTGCTTTCCTGTTTCGTTCAGTTGTTTGTAGAATAATTATTTATAGTTCAGCTTTCTTTAAACAAACAATATTTTAAATATTTCAAAAATATTTTTTGGCATATTAAGAAAATATTTTAAAGTTAATCTGAATTAAATTTGAAGTTTATCCCGGAAGTTCTATTCTTATTAAATGCTGTAAACAATTAGTAAAACATTTAACATGAATTTTTAAACCAGACCAATGATAACACGAACGAATTGAAATATTTAACTAAATCATAATAAAATTAACTTTCATTTCAATGGTATGTTGAATTCAATGTACAGCAAAAATTAAATTTCATATTATTTATAGAATTTTATTCTGTAAATTTATATTATAGAAATATCCATTGAGATGAGAAATAGAAAAGCTGTCATATGGCAGTTTCCTACAGTAAAACTAGACGGGAAAATATTTTTCATTAACTGAATTTGAACCCCCAATATTGGCACACATTGCATATTTACAGGAGGAGTCAATAAATGAGTAAGTTTTAGGATAAATCCTAATCACTTCTCTCAAAAGTCATGACCAGCATTTTTTTTATTTTTTTTATTTTTCACCCGGAGCTCTATGAAGTTTACCCTGTGCCAGAATTTACTTTGCCCAACACAAATCTATAAATCGGTCAAGGATTACAGCAATAGATGGCAAGGCGATAAAAAAAAACTTCAATAGTTTCCGGAGCAAGTGAAAAGTTCGAACTGTTAATAACCACCCGGTCGCTAAAGTTGTTTAAATTTGATGTTCATGCGGGTACCGATCTTATCAATGTTTTTCAGCTGTAGGCCAAATTAATTACAAGATTCCGGCAATCCAGCATAAAAACCTAAACTTTAATTTTCAGAAAGTTGGGATCAGCCATCAAAAGTCTATATGTGTATGAGTAAACCTGTGTGTGTGTGTGTGTGTGTGTGTGTTAGATCGGTGAGTAATGAACAGGCACTACAAATTGTAACACTCTCCCCATCGACACAACAACGTCATCGATGACAGCCCAAATACTCTAAGGTCAAGCAACTTTGTAATTTTCCAGTTATTTAAACAGTTCATCAAGCATTTGGCTTTTTCAATGTTGACAACGTTATTTATTGTCACTTCCGCTGTTACTAATCAAGAAAAAGATGCGCAGAGTTAGCAATTGATCGCTTCCGGTAAATAATTTAAATCTACAGAGGCACACTATACAGGGATATGTGTATGCATATCTATCTATCTATCTATCTATCTATCTATCTATCTATCTATCTCTTTTCACATTCGTTTCTTTCACAATGTTTTTATCAGTTAACCTCTCTTTCAACTTTTATCTATCTATCTATCTATCTATCTATCTATCTATCTATCTATCTATCTAGTTCTGCTCATCTATCTAATTCTGCTTATCTATCTATCTATCTATCTATCTATCTATCTATCTATCTATCTATCTATCTAGTTCTGCTCATCTATCTAATTCTGCTTATCTATCTATCTATCTATCTATCTATCTATCTATCTATCTATCTATCTATCTCAGTAGTTTCATATCTATCTCTCTAATTAAAAACAGATTGAGATTTTTTTATTTCAGAATTTAGGCATTGTAGTTAGTGACGAAGTTGCGCCCCTTGGGGAATTAAAAATAGTGAAGAGAGCGACGTGGTGGCTCACTTGAAGTTAAATAGGAAATTAAATGCATTGATTTGCGAGGAAGTCGTATAGAAACAAATCTCTTCAGTAATACGAATTTGAAAATTGATGAAAACTAGTGAGCACTTTTTCTTATCAATTATCCACGCAGTTTTAACAATGACGTCATCTCGTGTGTAGATTGCAAATTTAAGAACAGGCGATGCAAATTGCTATAAAAATCACAGGAAAAATAGTTAAACAATCTATCAAAAAATGCCTGATGCTTATATATGGTACGTATGACAATTTTATGATATATGATATATGTATGATTTGCATATATATAAATTTATATATATATATATATATATATATATATATATATATATATATATATATATATATATATATATATATATATGTGTGTGTGTGTGTGTGTAATAAAAAGAATATTCGGAGAGTTTTATATAATTTATCATCTGAAAAGAAAAAATATTAGATCGCATGTACAAAAAGCTAAATAAAAGCACCTTGTCTGTCGTATTCAATGAAATGTCCATAAAAGAAAGATTACTATCTACATACAGACACACACGCACACACACACACACACACACACACACACATATATATATATATATATATATATATTTGATATAAATTATTAGGATGATTTGATAATTATATTTAAAATATTCATCGAGTCTAAAACCTCAATAGAATGCACTGTACGGCCGTTTCGTCCTACATTTGGCACGCATCTGCAGTGAGCATCAACTACCGAGAATTGAAACCGTGACAGGTTGACAAGCAAATATCATACCAACTGTTCCAACGGGTCTCGGTGACGAAGAGATTGCAGATCAGACTCAATGTAGCGCCGCCGCTCGCTTACATATTCCGTGGTGGAACTCTGCTGAGTTTCTCTCTAACCATAGGACTGTGCCCCCTGGAGCCACGACTACTCTCACCAAGCCGCTCACTATAGTGCATTAGAAGCCGTTTCAAGCAATGATATACACATGATAGAATCTGATTTGCAATCTCTTCGCCACCGAGGCCCGTTGGAACATTTGATACGATGTTTGCCTGACAACCTAACTGTCAGGGTTTCAATTCTCGGTAGTGAATGCCCACTGCTAATGCAATCCCAAATATAGGACGAAACTGCCGTCCAGTGCATTCTGTTGGGGTTTCAGACTCGATGAATTGCTTAAATATGTGTGTGTATATATATATATATATATATATATATATATATACTACATTTCAAAGGTTTGAGGTGACCCGTAGTAATTTCTTAAAATTGTCCCCAAAATAATTGTTTTGTATTTTAACATTATTATACATGGTTAAAAAAAGAAGGACCTGATTTTTTACTAGTAATTTTATTATGACAAAAAGAAAAAAAGCATTTTATGATTAAATTTTACTCTCGTCAAAATATCCTCCTTTAACTTTGATTACTGCAGCACACATTTTTGTCATTCAATGCAAACGTTTCTCAAATGATATGTTTGATAATTCCAATGATAACTGAAAAAATATTCTTTTTCGATGACTCTAAGAGCTCTTCTTCATTTTTTTCACTCTTCTGCCAAGTTCAGCTCATGCTAAAACTTTTGAACTGTAGCATATATATATATATATATATATATATATATATATATATATATATATATATATACAGTGTATCACAAAAGTGAGTACACCCCTCACATTTCTTCAAATATTTAAGTATATCTCTTCATGGGACAGCACTGAAAAATTACCCTTTGACACAATGAAAAGTAGTCTGTCTGCAGCATATATAACAGAGTTAATTTCTTTTCCCCTCAAAATAACTCAAAATATAGCCATTAAAAGCTAAATCCCTGGCAACAAAATTGAGTACACCTCTAAGAAACTACACCCCTAAAAAGTGAGTACACCCCTAAGAAACTACAACCCTAAATGTCTAAATTGCGTACTGCTTTTCATTCTCCCTCCAAAATGTCATGTGACTTATTAGTGTAATTATGCCCATGTGTTCATGGGGAGCAGGTGTATTCAAATTTGTAGTGCAGCTCTAACACTTTCTCTTACCGGTCACTGAAAGTTCCAACATGGCACCACATGGCAAAGAACTCTCTGAGGATCTTAAAAAACGTATTGTTGCACTACATAAAGATGGCCAAGGCTACAAGAAGTTTGCCAATACCCTGAAACTGAGCTGCAGCACAGTGGCTAAGATCATCCAGCATTTTAAAAGAGCAGGGTCCATTCAGAACAGGCCTCGGGTAGGTCGTCCAAAGAAGCTGAGCGCACGTGCTGAGCGTCACATCCAAATGCTTTCTTTGAAAGATCGGCGTAGAAGTGCTGTTAGCATTGCCGCAGTGATTAAAGAGATTGGGATTCAGCCTGTTAGTGTTCAGACCATACGCCGCACACTACATCAAATTGGTGTGCATGGCTGTCACCCCAGTAGGAAGCCTCTTCTGAAGGCAATACACAAGAAAGCCCGCAAACAGTTTGCTGAAGACATGTCAACAAAGCCCATAGATTACTGGAACCATGTCCTATGGTCTGATGAGACAAAATTTAATTTGTTTGGTTCTGATGGCCTTAAGCATGTGTGGCGGCGACCAGGTGAGGAGTACAAAGATAAGTGTGTCATGCCTACAGTCAAGCATGGTGGTGGGAATGTCATGGTCTGGGGCTTCATGAGTGCTGCAGGTATTGGAGAGTTACATTTCATTGAGGGAAACATGAACTCCAACATGTACCGTGAAATACTGCAGCAGAGCATAATCCCCTCCCTCCAGAAACTGGGTCGCAGAGCAGTGTTCCAGCATGACAATGACCCCAAACACACATCCAAGACAACCACTGCTTTACTGAAGAGGCTGAGGGTAAAGGTGATGGACTGGCCAAGCATGTCTCCAGACTTGAACCCAATAGAACATCTTTGGGCCATCCTCAAGCAGAAGGTGGAGGTGCGCAGAGTCTCAAATATCCGCCAGCTCCGCGACGTCGTCATTGAGGAGTGGAAGAGCATTCCAGTGACTAACTGTGAAGCTCTGGTAAACTCTATGCCCTGGAGAGTAAAGGCAGTTTTGGATAATGATGGTGGCCACAAAAATATTGACAGTTGACATGTATGTTAATATTGACAACTTTTCCTAAGGGGTGTACTCACTTTTGTCGCCAGGGATTTAGCTTTTAATGGCTATATTTTGAGTTATTTTGAGGGAAAAATAAATTAACTCTGTTATATATGCTGCAGACAGACTACTTTTCATTGTGTCAAAGTGTCATTTTGTCAGTGTTGTCCCATGAAGAGATATACTTAAATATTTGAAGAAATGTGAGGGTGTACTCACTTTTGTGATACACTATATATATATATATATATATATATATATATATATATATATATATATATATATATACTGGAATCGTCGGTTGTTTTTTCGACGTATGAGGGTCAAGCAACTCGGATCCTAGGAACCGATAGCCCAAAACCTGCACATATGATTTGATTATAGTGGTGAAAGCTTTGTGCAGAACCAACCACAAAGTCCCCAGACGACCCTCCGCAGGTTTTGAATTCAGACCAGTCCGTCTTGCTATTTACCATAGTTAGGGAGGGGGAAGAAGGATTCATATCTTTCCCAAGGCTATTAGCACGTAAGCGAATGTAATGGATCCAACTGGAATTCGAACTCAGCTCTCCGATTCCTCAATCCGAGCCGTTATCCATGACTCCACCGTACCCCCTCTCTCTCCTTCTCTCCCTCTGTCTGTCTGTCTCTCTCTCTCTCTCTCTCTCTATATATATATATATATATTAAACAAAAAGAAAAAAAGAAGACGCTTAGCTCATCAAGGCAAATGTATGTGTTTTATTTTGTGGAAAGTATTTATATACAAGAGCAATGATGCTATTGTTTTTTCAATCTTTTTTGTATAGGAGGACTCATGGATATTCATCAGGTTAGCAGAAATGTCCATGAACTTGCCTGACGTTTTCCTGACTGATGTTTTACAGCACTAAGTAGACTAATTTTCCCATTCGTATAACGAAATTTACTCAATATTGATATGGCACATATTTCATTTTACCTTCCACTGATATGGAACTTTTGTACATCATTTTCTCGCCAGTGATACGAAATTATCATTAGAAACTTTCCTACGAATTTCTGTCATTAAAAACATTTCTATCATTCTTTCATTTTTTTCACATTAGAATGTTGTTATTATTCCCTTTTCTATAATTCTCTATCATTGGAATCTTTACTATCATTGGACACATTGAATCATTGAACTTCTGCACCTATTTGATGTGCATATAGCCAACATGTAACTCGCATCTTTGGTTTTGTCTCTTGCTATTGGCCATATTTTCTGTTTTCTTGCAGTTAGTCGACGATTAGTCCTTTTTCTCGCTTTCTTCTACCACTCTGTCTAGGAGGCCCTGTAGTTTTCTTTCCGAGTTGGCCATCAATACGGTATCATCTGCGTATCTTATTATATTAAGATTACTCATAGTCAAAGTTTTGGCCAGAGATTGTTGATGCTAACGATCTTAACATTAGTTGGATAGTAACAACAATAGGATTAGCAGCCATAATAGATTGTTCAATATCGAGGATAGCCATTATCACATAAGAATGTTTTCTTCTTCTTCTAAGTGACCTGTTTCTTAAAGACGTTGGCGACTATCGCTATCCGCTGTCCTTTCTTAATAAATTTCGTTTTTTATCTCTCCTGAACCTTACTCCGGCATCCATTCACTCAAGTTCGCGTGGTATCTTAGGCGGGATAGAACTAATAATCTTGCGTCATCAACAGTCTTGATAAGGCCAGGATACCCAAACTGTCGCGATGACTAGCATCACCGTTCAAGAAGAACTATTAAAGGCTTCCAAACAGTTTCGCCAAGTCAATTACATACACGAATCTTGGCTCAACCCGTGGTATGATTGTCATACACTTTCTAACAATGCTGCAGGCTGGTATTATCGTATTGAAAAACCGACCATGGTGAGATTCGAAACAGTTGGAATAGTTGGAATGCGAACGTTCTGACCACTCAGTCACGTGTGCATCGTAACTTTTATCTGATTGTAACAGTTTTCTTTCATGGCCATATTCAGGTTCATTTCCAACAAAAAAATTAAAAAAGGTAAAAACTAAAAATCAGTAACACTTACGAAAGTTGCAGGAGCAAAAGAAAATGATTCGTTCAAAACCATTATTTTTGTTCCTACATGTCAATTAAATAAATAAAATATACAAAAAACATTTTTTCATTCAATTTTTATATAAGAAGCATTGGGATTGTGGTCGGAATTTAGACGTGGTCGGCCATTGTCCACCGGAAATTTATTTAGAAATATTAAGGCTGTGCTAGTTAATATGGCATTGAGCGTTTTTTCTCCGATTTGCTTTTGTAGAAGACTCCCTTTTGAGTTGCATATTTTATTGTCAAAAATTATATATATATATATATATATATATATATATATATATATATTATATATATATATATCAAAAATAAAGAATAATCATTTTCCCCGTCAAAGCATTAAGTAAATCAGCAATGATAAAAATCATGTGATAAAAGTAAGAGAGAAAATTATATTAAAATGAAAGAAAGGTTAATGAAAGAAATTTCGTTTTAAATATATAAATGAACTTAATTAAGATGGGGAAAATGTAGTCACTCTATCTGTGTTAGTTTCTCTCTGACTACTCTCTCTCACTCACTCACTCACTCACTCACTCACTCACTCTCTCTTTTTTCCCCTCTCTCTCTCTCTCTCTTTCTGCGTCTTCTCGCTCAATATCGTTTTTACTGTCGATATATCTTTTAGGTCTCTCTGTATTGTCATTTTCTTCTCTCTTGCTGAGTCTTTTCTTTCGATGTCTTTTCTTTTTCGGACTCTTCCCTTTCTTAAAGTAGTATCTCTCTCTCTATCTGAATTCTCTTTATCTGTTTTTTTTTTATCACTCTCTTTGACATCTTTCTTCCTATCTTTCTTTTTATTTATCTTTTCTCTGTCTTTCTCTCTTTAATTCTGTTTATCAATTCAGCACAATTTTATATACAGTAATTTTTTTATGTTAACTGTCCTGATTATTTTTTGACCCGACCCTGTTTGATAAAAATATTTACCACACACACACACACACACACACACACACACACACACACACACACACATATATATATATATATATATTTATACACAGGGTGTGATGAATAAAATGTCGTCTAATGAAAATAACATTGACATCTCATTTTAAGAGATATATTCACCAAAATTGCACAAAAATATCTTGAAATAATAATAAGTAAATTTATTCAATAAAATCACCATTGGCTTCAACCACACCCTCCAGATGATGTCGGGATCTCCTGCAACTCTTCTGGACGGTCTCCATGTTTAAGTTGGTGAATGCTGCTATAATCCTTGCCTTCAGTTCATGTTTGATGTTACAAGGATTTTTGTTGGTCTCTTGCTCAACTGCACCCGATACCAAGGGGGTTGCAGTCTGGGGAGTTTTGGCCAGACGTAAGGGGTGATGTGGTCGAAGAAACTGACTGACAGTCTTGAATCTTGACTCAAAAATTATCTCCTCTAAAAATCAACTTCTTGATTAGTCATATGAAGACCTCAACGAAATGAATGGAATCATCATTCAATAATTTCCAAATCCTCTGTACTGTCCTCAGGTTGACATCCAAACACTCTGAAATGTTCGTATTGGAACTTCCGGCGCGAATGCCAAACAGTACAGCATGCTGTTTCCAAATTTCTGTCGAAGTGAATTGCGTCATGGTGCTTTTTTTTTCTCATAAACGGTGCCCAATTGACCCTAATATACTGTGCAGTCGACAAACTAAAATACAAAAAATGCGCATGCGCGAAATTAAAATATAAAATGGCGACAATTTACCCATCGCAACTCGTGTGTGTACATATATATATATATATATATATATATATATATATATATATATATATAAAATGGCTGATTATTTCGACCATGCCGATCTGCTTAGGTATACTAGTTAATCAGTTCTGTAGACGCCTGCTAAGGCATATTTGTATCTCTTCAGCACTAAGTCCAAGTCACTTTAGACTGTAACTATGCTGAACAGATCTTAGTTATATTTTCTGGGTGGGAAAACAAAAATTAGTGTAATCTGTTTTGAAACAAGGCAAGTGCACCCAAGTCCTCGGTCACGATGAATTGTGATTTTGTGCTGCCACAACCATTGAAGGGTTCCGAACAGTTTCGTCTATTCAATGTATTATATTCAAGTACTTCATGATGTGATCGTCTTGTCAAGCCGTTATTATCAAAAAGTCATTTCAATGGACAAATTGACTACGGTGAGTTTGGAACCCACGTTGCTTGGACATTTTCCCGTTTGTCGTTCATGATTTTAGGAATCTATCTATCTCAGTTTGTTCATATCTATCTATCTATCTATCTATCTATCTATCTATCTATCTCAATTTGTTCATATCTATCTATCTATCTATCTATCTATCTATATCATCTATCTTCTATCTATCTATTTCAATTTTATCTATCTATCTCAGTTTGTTCATTCTATCTATCTTATCTATCTATTATCTATCTCAATTTTTTCATATCTATCTATCTATCTATCTATCTATCTATCTCAGTTTCTCACTGTTTTCTTTCTCTCTCTTTCTATCTAACTCAGTCAATTGCCCTAAGTTTTCTTATCTATCTACATCAGTTTTTCTGTCTCTCTCCTTTTCTCTCTCTATCTATCTCAGTTTCTCTCTTTTTTCTTTCTATATCTTTCTCAGTCAATCTCAGTCTCTCTCTCTCTCTCCCTATCTATCTATCTATCTATCTATCTATCTATCTATCTATCTATCTATCTATCTATCTCAATCTCTTAATATCTATCTATCTACACGATTTCATATTTCATTATGCAAGTCAACATTTTTACAATAAAATTGCTATTAAGCTTAACAATTTCGAAAACAATAGGAGGAGGTATTATAAACTTTTGGGTCAACCATTTCAGCAGCAAAATTACAGGCTCTTTCAAAATTCTAACCTTCTCGGTTTAGACCCGCCATAGTAGTGATACTGTAGCGAACCACCCTCATTGCCTTCGCATTCCATTGGTGAGAAGTTCCACTCGAGTAGCTTCTCAAAGGGAACCGTTGCTCTGTGGAACCAACTCCCAAGACGTTGTTTCTCCGATTACTAAAATCTTAACCTGCTCAAGTCTAGGGTTAAACTTATGTCACTGCCAAAACTCTTCAAAGGAGAAGTACATGGGACACAGAAAAAGTTTTACAAAAAGAAAGGTTAATAAAAATGATTGTAAGATAAAATCGAGTAGAAAAGTAGAAAAGCAGTGAATGAAAAAAATGATGACTGTTTTAGAATATATCCAGAAGTTCTTCTATTATGTGCTGTGTTCGTTTCGGACGTAGTAGTCATGACCCTTCTCAACTTCACAGCTTTTCTAGCTCGTAGTAATGATTGCCAACTTACTTAAGGTTCTTTTTTCTGCCATCCATTTGCACAAGCTCATTACTCACTAAGTGTCTCAGTCCCTTTTGTTTTCCATATCTATTTTGGGTGTCTAATTCACTTTCATCATTATATATCTTGAAATTTACAACTGTCTTTTTCAGATTTTAACTACAAATGTCCTTTTTTTTGACATTTTCCTTAAAACTTCCTCGTTGCTTACATGTTCTGCCAATGGTATTCTCAGCATCCTTCCGTAAAACCGCATAACATAAATAATAAAATTATAATTAATTAAGATATACGAGTTATTGTTAAATATGTCTTTATGGTTTATATCTTTTAGCACTATTTCACTGATATCAATAAAAATTCAGGTGACACAGAGTTTGAGTCTGGCACTCGGAAAACAAGTTATTACTTAAAAAAAAAAGATTAATGGTAGATATTAGTTTGGGTCATACATAATTCCGGTTTTTGTTTATCAATTTTATTTCTCAAAAATAAAGTACAATTACATTTTATTCAATTATATATTCACCATTATTGGCAATGATCTCTTGCCACTTACTACGCAGTTATCTGATACATTTTGAATGAAATTCCGCAAGTTTTGGCGCGAAAAATCTCTCACGAAACATTTGAAGCTAGTTTTGTTAGAGAAAGATTTCCCCCACCAAAGGGTTTTGCAGAGATTCCAAAATGGTAATAATCAGTTGATGTAAAGTCAAACGAATTTGGTGGGTGGATTTGAATAGACCATCATCGTTCTATTTTTCTGTGTTATACTATCTATCTATCTATCTATCTATCTATCTATCTATCACAGTATTTCACTTTATTTCTCTTTCTTTCCCTTGCATTCATTTCCTTCCTTCCTTCCTTCCTTCCTTCCTTCCTTCCTTCCTTCCTCCTTCCTTCCTTCCTTCCTTCCTTTTATTTGGGCGGTTGGTCTTTACTTACATGGAAATAAAATCTAAAATACCTTAGGTCGTTTTATCATTTTCCTTTTTTAATTTCCCCCTCTTTTCTTCGTTGCAGTTTACTTGTTTTTTTGCTTATATGTTATTTTCCGTTTCTCTTCCTCATCTTTTTCTTTCTTTCTTTTTTCTTTCTTTCTTTCTTTCTTTCTTTCTTTCTTAATCTTGGAATCTTCAACTTTTCTCTCGATTTTCTTTAGGCTTCCTCTCGTCGTTATTTTGTTTGTTTCTTCATTGTTCTTGTTTTCTCGTATTTGTTTTACTCTTACTTCTATTTCTTTCTCCTTTTTTATTTTTCTCACTTTATTTTTCTCTCTTTTCTTGTTCTCTTTTATTCATCCATTTATTTGTCTTTCTTGTCTTCAATTATCTCTCTATCAATATTTATTACTTTTTGTTCATTCATGCTTATTTTCCTTTTTATTTCCCTACTTGTTCCTATTTTTCTGTCTTTATTTGTTTTTCTTTCTTTCTTTCTTTTTTCTTTCTTTCTTTCTTTCTTTCTTTCTTTCTTTCTTTCTTTCTTTTTTTCTTTCTCACTAACAAAAAGAAACCAAATATAATACCTGCAGCTATTTCTCTCTCTATTTGTTCTTCACCCCAAACCATTCCCAAAATTCTTCCGAATATTGATTCTGAACATAAAAGACAACAAAGGACGATGCAGATTCCGATTCGATCTTAAAGCGACGCCCTAAGTTCTCCAAAAGTCGCAGAACACGATTTATCGATAATTTCCTTTTCACATTTTTTTTTTATTTAGTTTTCAATGGCGAAATTTAACAAATTTTAATCGATTTTTCTTTTGGCGGCTGATTAAGCAAATCGATGCGCTATTTTAACACTAAAAGTGCCGACAACTAACTCTTTTCCGTTTCTCCATGACCTATCACCTCCCCGCACTACTTCTTTCACGGAGAAATTCCTCCGCTGTTGTTTTGAGACGTAAGAGAAATGGGGCTGGTCGGCGAACACAAGGTAATCGGGAGCGCGAACAAAATAATCTTTTCAAAACCTAAGTGGTCCTGAAAGGCCGTAATCGGTTTACGGAACCAACTTTTGCTTTTCGATGCGTGCACACCTTATCAGCAATTTGTAGCAATTTCGTTTTCTTTTGACATGTTGGGAAATTACTAATGAAATCACGGGCCCGCTTGACTTGATTATCTCGATTCGATTCAATTGGATTTATTATACAATCAAACTGCTTACCAATTAGTATAAGTCAAGAAACATAGAGAAAGAAATGCAAGCAAGACATAAATAAAAACGAATTAAACTGACGAGAAATAGAAATAAATGCCCAAAACTTTCAAGGATTATTTTTCAGTGATAATTGTTACGACGATGAAATCCAGTTTGAGTATCGAACAGGACCAACGTTTGGCAATACCTGGCCCCAGAGTTTTGTACGGGTTGGAAAACGAGAGAAGAGTAAATCTAATTTGTGACCGTTGTGACATGGATCTTCTCTTTGTGTGTGTATGGTGGTGGCGGGTGGTGGTGGTGGGGGGGTTGATTTTCTGGATTTAATGAGTAGAGGCTCAGCCAAGCAGGAGGTACATTTTGTTTACAAACTTTTATTTTCTGTTATTTCGTGCTTTTCTTTTGCCACGTTATTCACGTCGTCAGAGTAAATTCGGACTTGTGTTCCCGCTTATTTATTCATTGGTTTATTTAGTTTATTTTTAGTCATAGAATTTTTTCTGTTTTGCTTTCAAGCCGATATTTTCTTTCCTTTTTGTCTTTTCTTCTGATTTTCATGTCGGCGTCCATTTTGTTATTCTTTCATTTACTGCTTATTTGACCTTCATTTCCTACTTCCTTCTCTTTCAATTGCTTTGTTTTTCTCTCTTTCTCTTTCTTTCTCTTTTCCCTCACTGTATTTATGTTTCCTTTTTACTTTCTATTTTTCTCTCTCAGGTTTCCTGCCTTTCCTCATTAAATGCTCCATTTTTTCTTTTCTTTTTACTGCCTTTTCCTATTTTCTTGAACTAATATAATCCTTGATTTTGCACTTTCCTCTTCTTTTTCTTCTTCATTCTCTTATCGTCCTTTTTTCTCTACTTTTTTTTCCTTCGCCTTTACTTCTCTCTCCCTCTCTCTCTCTCTCTCTTTACTTGTATTATTTCTTTAACTTATTTCTTCTTCTTCTTCTTCTTCTTCTTCTTCTTTCATTTTCTCATATTATTTCTCTTATCTTTTATTCTTTCTCTTGCTTTGGGGCACTTGTTTTTCTGTCCAACTTATGACTTCTTTGAGTTCTCTTTGAACCGACCAACTTTTCTTTCTTTCTTTCTTTTATAGTTTCGCTGAATTCTCATGTACTTTTTCTCTTAACGCTATTTATCGTTTTCTCTACGCTCTCACCACTCTTTCTCTTGCTTTAGGGCATATTTAAATTCTTCTTTGATTTTACATTTATCTCTCTTTCCTTACTCGTTATGACCTTCGGTTTTCACTTCTTTCTTTCACTTCTTTCTTTTTGTCTTTCTTTCTCGCTGATTTTTTTCTCTTCTCTTCACTTCTTGATATCTTCTTCCTTCCTTTCACTTTTCATTTCCATTTTTGCTTCTTTTCCTCTCCGATGTCTCAATTACTTTTTCTCTCTTTTTGCAGTCGATTCATTGATCTCTTTTTCATATATTGGTTTCTTAACGGCCTCGGTTATAGTCCGGCTAATTTATTAGCGTTTAAAGAACTTAAGTTAGAACGCTTTTTAATAATTGGCCTTGAGCCATATTTTTATTTTTAATCACATATATAATCAACTAAATAGAAAAGTATTTATTTATCGTATTTGTTAGTCATCAACTTCAACAATCATGCAACATATATATATATATATATATATATATATATATATATATATATATATATATATATATATATGAGATAGATAAATATTAGGTTGAATTCAAAAATAATGACGTAACAATGTCGTTTTGACGTATTTTTAACGTCAAAAAACGACATTCTTACGTCATTATTTTTGCACCAACCTAATATAATCAGACCGATATATATATATATATATATATATATATATATATATTTATACGTTATTTTTATAGGTACAATTTATTTGATATAATATATGTATATCTAATATAATATGTATATATATATATATATATATATATATATATATATATATATATATATATATATATATATATATAGAAATATATAGTTTTAAGGTGTGCTATATTTATAGGATAAAGTGGTCAATATCAGAGATAGAGCGTATGTAAATATAAATATAAAAGTGAACATTGAAGTCAACACTCAGAGGCGACTGGCCGTTTCATACTGGACGGAATCGTATAGCTTGAAACAGCCTGTCGCCTCTAAGTGTTGACTTCAATGTTCACTATATATATATATATATATATATATATATATATATATATATATGATTGACATATGATTGACATATAATTGCGTATAGCATATATATATATATATATATATATATATATATATATATATAATATGTATAAAAATATTATATAAACAGAAAATATATTAAATAATTGTTAGACTTAATCCATTTCATTTTATATATAATATAGATAAATAGATAGAGATATATGAAGAGTCTGAGATAGATAGATAGATAGATAGATAGATAGATACATACGAAGTGTCTGATATAAATAGATATAACTATATTTCCGCTCTTTCTATTTCCACTATACCATATTTTATTATGAAATTTTATATTTTCACAATAAAATTAATATTAATCAAAAGATGTTGACATTTTTAGAATATATTAATACTTATATAATAAAAATATGTTATGAGAATTTACACCTGATTTATAAATATGTAAATTTTGCTCATTCGCAAGGTTATTAGTCAACTTTTTCTTCTTATAGTAAATAAATACATATGAAATAGTATAATTATTGATATTTATTTGTAATGATCAGCTATATAGCGGCGGGAAACAAATATTCGTACAGATACAAATTTTTAATTTATTGTATTTCCAACTGAGAAATAAACATACTTTTCATATAATTAACTCTAGAAAGATGCATAATAACTAAATAAGCATAGAAAACAGAAAATGTTTTTGATTTAATAGAAATAAATCCCATTTATTCATTTTAATGGGTGAAAATAGTATTCGTACAATGCAAATTTCAGATTTTAAATCTTTTAAATTGCTTTAATACTCTATATTATTCAAGTGGAATATTCTAGAATGTTCTAATAACGTTATCAGTTGTTATTTTTAGCCTAAGAATTACAAACAGAATATTATGTAATTGATATTCGTGCAAGAATGTTATCATCATGGCAAGAGGTAAAGAATTGACAAATTCACAAAAAAAAAAGAGAGCTGATTGTTGAGCTTTGGAAAGAAAGTAAAAGTTACAGAAAAATCTCAGACAACCTGAATATTTCATTTACTACTATTAGTTTATTCATTGCAAGGTATAAAAAACTCAAAACTGTTGAAAACCAAAGAAGAGCAGGTGCTTCACGAAAAGTTTCTTCAAGATCTTCAAGGAAATTAACGCATCAAATTAATGGTTACTTGTCAAGAATTGGAGGGTTGATTTGCTTTCATCAGGAATCTGTCACTAAACTGACAAAAAAGCGATGAAATTCATAGGAACAATCTAAAGTTATGCTCTCCTCGGAAAACTCTACTGTTATTTAAAAGACACAGAGATGGCAGGCTGAAATTCGTTCGTGAACATAAGGATAAGGAAAAATCTTATTGGGAAAGAGTGTTATGGACAAACGAAACCAAAACAGTTGTTTGGACGTAATTCTCGAAATCATGTATGGAGGAAAGATGGCGCTGCATTCAAACAAAAGAACACAGTTCCAACTGCGCGATTTGATGGGGGCAGCATCATGGTTTGGGGATGTTTTTTCTGCAAAAGGTACTGGCAACGTATCAGTCGTTGATGGTAAAATGAATGTCACAGCATATCAAAACATTTTAGAAGCAAATTCAATGATTTCGGTTGAAAATCTTGAACTTCCTCCCGACTGCATCTTCCAACAAGATAATGATTCTAAGCACACCCCAAAATCTATGAAGAAATGATTTGCTGAAAATAATGTAAATATCCTGAAATGGCCAAGTCATCCCTCAGATTAAAACCCAGTCGAGAATCTGTGGCGTTATTTGAAAATTTAAATCCAATCGAGAGTTCCAACAAGCATCCCGGGTCTGAAGACCATATACGAAGAAGAATGGAACAAAATAGCAACTAAAATTTACAAATCATTAATTGAGAACTACAAAAAGTGGTTGGTTTCTGTAGAAGTGCATAATGGCTATTCTACAAAGTATTAAATGAAGATTATGTAATCTTTTTTTTTTTTTTAAATATACGAATATTTTTTCACCCATTAAAATGGATAAATAGGATTTATTTCTATTAGATCAATTTTGTTTCCGTTTTCTATGCCTATTTAGTCATTATGCATCTGTGTACAGTTAATCGTATGAAAAGTATGTTTATTCATTAGTTGGAAATATAATAAATTAAAAATTTTGTATGTGTATGAACATTTGTTTCCACACCCCACCGCATTATATAAAGATTGCTAAAGGTTGTGAGGCCGATATGACCTTAAAAGTGAAACAAAATTACTGCAAAGTTATTAACTAATGGGAAGACATTTCCGGAAACTGAAAGAGAAGTTAAAAAAGAAATTCATATAATATTCACAAGGTAAGAAAATAACTGACTTTAAGAATTTTTCTTAATCATTTCACTCCAAGCAAGGCGATAAAGCCACTACGATGCAGTGTGTGTGTGTGTCTGTGTGTGTATAGAGGGTGTACACGGAATGAAAGAAAATGAGAAGATTCTAGTGAGGAGAAGTGATGAAAAGGATCCAAGTAGACGGAAGACGGCGATTGACGTTGCATTTAAATTTTTGAAGAATTTAGACGACAGGGAAGCGGAAGGGAGTTGTGCAGGTGAGAAGTGCGTAAAAGGAAGCTATTAGACTAGAACAGATGGTTGTATCTAGCTAGTTCAACGGTAAATCGGAGAGACTTAGTTGCTAATTTAGTAGGGAAAAAAAGCTCATCCAAACAGTTGTCATGAAAATATTTGCAAAACAGACAGAGGGAAAACACGTAAAGTGGGTGAGGAAGAGACTGAAGTCGAGATGCCAGGCCAGGATTGATAAAATTACAGACCCTTCTTTGAATTTGTTAAAAAATCTCGAGATGTATAGTAGGAACACCAAACCAGGTATAAAAGCAATATTCAATGCCCAGACACTTTCGTCTAGCTTCGGTTATGATCAAGAAATATTTTTTTTCATTTCACCCAAAGCAAGGCAATAAAGTCACTAAGACGCAAGTGGTTACTGAGTGTTAGAAAATATGAAAAAAAAAAAAACACTATTAAGGAGAGAAAAATAAAAGAACAAGAAAAAAAAAAGTTTGACGTTGCATTTAATTTTTTGAAGATCAAAGTTGAAATTGAATAATAAAAATTAAATGGTAAAAATTAAATTAAATAATTAAAAGTTAAATAAAATTAAAAGTTAATTTTGTAGTTTGCATCTTTGCAATGATTTTGAATTTTGATTTCTGAATGTTTGTTTTGTTTCATGAGCATGATGAAAACAACACCATTCTCCGACATCCATTGATTTTTGAAGGCACACTTTGAGCCACAGCACAAGAAGAATGCAAGCGCTTTTAGAATGTACATTTTTTATGCCTGAAAATCATACATCACATTTGGCAAAGAAATCTAATGAAAATCTGAGACGAATGGGTTTAAAAAAAAACATTCGATTGAAGCGGCCGGCTTATTCAGTTGAGCATCAACTGACTGGAAAATTAGAAAGCATTTGGAAGAGGAAAGCTTACACTGGTGGAGAGCAGACTACAAACAAAGATGGACATTTTTTATGCTCTTCTGGATGCTATGCAAATTCTGTTACATTTGATGAAACAAAAGCTTACATAATGAACGGATGAAGGATTTCTAAATCCAATTTCATACTCTCAGCATACATTTCACAAGAATGTTTTCTTTATAACTATATCATTATCCCAGTAAGACGTGTTCAATCATTTGTTTTCAAAATATTTGCCTTTGTAAATTTGGGGAATTTTTTGTAAATACATATTTTTTTAATTTAAAAAAAAATGTTTCTCGATGTTTCAGTACCCTGGTTAAGAATGTGAAATTTAGAAATCCGTTAAAATTTATGAAATTCTTTTTACATCACGAATCTAGTCTACTCTAACGTATCGCCATTGTGAAGCTAAAAAGGAAGTAAGTACATTTTTAGGAAATGAGAAATAAAAGGTAAAGGAACAATAGAACAATATATTTGGAATGCCTTCTTGTTTGAACCGAGATGTTTTCAGAACCCTATGTATATAATTCAGTCAGCTAAGTGCCATCACGTGATACACGCTTTGGTGATAATGTCTCTTTGGATTCATCACTGACTAGGCGGAAGATTTTCCAGAAATAGTTTGCCATTTATTTCTGCGGTAGACTGGTCGCCAAACAAGGCTATAGTACCCAGTTTGTTCTGCTAGTCAACCCATAGCTGAGGGTGAGAAAAGATGGATTCATATCTTTCCGAAAGGTAAATGTAACGAACTTGTCTGTAATTCGAACTTGTCAATATATATATATAACTATATATATATATATATATATATATATATATATATATATATATATATATAGGTAACTATACTCGTTTTGAAAAACCTTCGACTTTTTTGATTTGCCAATAATTAAATCAATCTCGAAGGAAAAAAAAAGTTTTAAAAAAGAAAGAGCTAGAAATATGAAAGTCTGTCGACAAAAATCGCACAGATACAGGTTTAAAGCCCAAAGTGGTTGTGACACGAGTAAACAACTAACTAAAGAGCTCAATACAACCGTAGAGCAGATCTAGATAAACCTAGTGAGCCAGACAAACCTTCCCAGGTTTCACGTAAGCTTAGATGAAACCTGGGTAGGTTTGTCTGGCTCAAGGGTTTATCTAATCTATCTATCTCTCTCTCTCTCTCTCTCTCTCTCTCTCTCTATATATATATATATATATATATATATATATATATTTGTATGTGTTTTCGTGTGTGCGTGTACATAATCAGTCCCCTCCAAAGAAAAGCGATACCTAAGGTTTAAAATGCATTTTTTAAAATGAAAATCTTTCTTGAGGTTTTTTATTTTAGTCTTAATTTAAAGTTAATAGATTAAATTTAGTAATTCCAATGAACAAAATACTATCCTGTATTTCAAAACTAATTTAAATTCATTGGAATGTGTTTTTTAATCGCTAAAAATAACTATTTTCGTACCGTATTTACACATCTTTCAACACAACGTAATGTCCTTTATTAATTTTTTTTTTTAATAATATATACTTTTCTGAAATTTTAGTTGAGGAAGATCAATTTATTTAAAGTTTAATTAAGCTGAAGTATTACTTATATTTAGATTAAAATATCACAGATAAGCATTTTTAACATTGAAGTGCGTGCATTTATGAGGTGTTGACAATTTCAGGCTACTCTTATGCTTGGGAATTTTTCGAAGGTGAACAATTGTTATAAAAATTATTTGACAAGTATAACGCGAACAGTTTTTATATAATTTTTAAACTATCCAGTAATCTTTAA